AAGTTAATGTCAGGTTCAATAGATCATTTTCTGATTGATCTTATTGCAGGTAACGTTATCTATAGACGACTAATATCTGATAGGATCGCTTCATTCCTGTCCTGTAAATAAAGGAAGACTTCCCAGGGTGACTGCATTCCACAAACAGCTTTGAATTGCTGAGAATGCATGTGAAGCTGAACAAAATTCCTGAGTTGTTTTTCAGGGAATGCCATTTTACATTGCTTTGATGGTAGAATAAAAAGCTCTGGAAAAAAATACCTGAGCCACTTCATGCTGTTCTTTTTCGTCATATTCTGATATTGGAAACATACTATTTGGTTGATTTTAGCTGTCAGAGAGAGAAATTTCCCATGGATGCTTTAGACTTAAGAATACTTGTACTTTACTTTGCTGGAATTTTTAGGAAACAATAATAAATAGTCTTTGTATGTGAACTTGTATCAAGAGACACAGAGATACTAATCCCTAGGGGGAATCATAACTGTTTAGCTTTCTAGATGAGTTTCAATTAATTTCATACAGTTTCACACTGATTTTCATCTTTCTATGAGCGTTCCTTGTCCCTTTCATTCTTTGCTTGGCGTCAGTGTCCCTTTGCTTTCCTCAAGGTTTCACCTACCATAGAGTCGGACAGTGCCTTTCAGTACTTCTCATTCATCTCAGGCTACCTTCGATCTGGATCTTATCAAATGCCTCCATTTTCTGTCAGGATCCAGTTTGTTATCGCAGTGCCCTCTGCAATGTGCTGGAGACTTCCCCTGATTCTCTGTAGCTCATTCCCTCAGACACACTCCTCTTTCTTCCCCTGTCTGTCCCGCTCAGTTTCTTACAGTACTTATTCCAGTAATGGTCTCTTGCAGAAGCCAATTGGCTCTGATTTTAAAGAAAGTAAGGTCTTTTCAGGCATTCCTTATCTCTGCCTTGATTTTCAGCAGTGTCTTGTCTTATGCCAACTAGGTTGCGTATTTATAGAAGTTGCCTTTCCCCATCAGTAAGTTGGAGCTTTGTGTATGAATAAGAAGGAACTCAGCAAGATACAGCTGATTTGCTTAACTTCCTCCAGTGGTCTGCTCCATGCAAATATGTGATGTCTGTATGCTGTGTCCCTCTGTTAAAGGCTGTACAGCAAAGGTAGAAGTAAGGGAGTAGGATTTAAATCCAGGTGTGAAATTTTCTATCTGAGAAAGGAATGTAAAGACAGTGAGTAAGTTCCGTGATGGTAAGTTGAGGTCATTTTTACGTTTTCCTTTGTTATATGCTAGGAAGCCGAGGAATCATTATTCTGTATGGGATGGGAGCTTGCGAATTGGGAAGTCATGTTTTCAAAATTTCAGAATGGTAAGTAATTGGGTAAGGATTTTAGGAACAAGCAGAAGTAGAATACTGGGCTACATTTTTATAGACGTGGATTATATGCAAAGGGAAAAGATTCAGTTTACTCTCATTATTCTTCAAATTGTCACCTCACATTTTTTGTCACTGTAATCATAAAAGTAGAGATTTTCAAAATCATAAGTGGCAGCAAGTTAGTGACATATAGGCATCTAACTGATAACTGGTGTGCTCTTGCAAAATCTCCATCTTAGGCGACAGATTTTCAGAGATGTGTATTCAGGGACATGCATTTCTTGTGCTTGCAAATATTTAATGTTCCTGCATTCCTCCCGGTTGTCTGTAGTTCTGAATTACCATTTGTGGCCTTGAAAATCTCCTCCTAGTGAGCGGACAGGTAAGGAGAATTAGATGTCCCTCAACAAGTAGATATGCAAGATTTCGCTTTGCTCTTCAGGTTGGCTGGCCTATATTCAGAAGGCGGTTGCCTCAAGCTTTTTGCTAGCCTCTTTCATATTCAAATAGACTAGTTTTCTGTCCTTCCCTTTTCTGCTGCTGGTTCTTGACTTTCATTTCTCTGACAGTCTGACTTTGCTTCTCAGAAGCAGATGTGAGCAGTTAGCCTGGTCCTAATTTGCAAATTTTTAAGCCTTTAAGAACAAATTAAAATGAAAAATTTCCACTTGAATTCAATGTACCTGTCTCTACTTGTGCTTAGAAGTCAGTAACTTTTTCTATCAATATTCAGAGTTCTATCTGTGAGCAGTATTGCATGTCGATCTCCCTCTCGATCTTTCATAATTTTCCCTTGCTTTTTTAAATCATCTTTTTCCATTTTTTGCCCTATCTTATTTCTCCTTTACTGCTCTTCTCAATTTCCTGCACTTCCTGCAATTGAAATGAGTCTCCTTGAAGCCAACACTCCCCAGTCAGTATCCTGAGGGGGCCTTGAGATGGACCCGTGTGTCTGTGCCACTGGCGGAAAGGCTGCACCGTGCTGTCCCAGGGCCAGCCTGCTGCCTTGAAAGACCAAAGTTTCATTAGCCCATCTGCAGGATCATCCTGACGTCACTATTCTTCTTTCAGGACTTGAGCTGATAACTCAGCATAGCATTGCAGTGGGCCACGTAGCTCAAGGCAATTTGAGCTAGTTTGACCATCTCTCAGTGGCACTGTTTTGGACAAGGCACAGAAGAAGCCAGAGTAATCCCTTACAGAAAGGAGATTTTGGTTCCCCAGTTGCTGCCATGTTTTTTGGTTTGTGTGTGCTGTGTGTCCTGTGTTTTGCAAATACACGTTCATTTCTGTCAGTTCTTGTTTGGGAGTCAGCGGCAGACACAGGATGAATGTAAAGGAGGTGAGGTCTGAAACTCTTCCGTTTGTGTCCTGTTATGAAGTGGTGGGGCATTCCCACACTGGTGTTGCAGATGAAGCACAAGTTCCCCAGTTCTGCAGTAGCGGCTTTCCACTTCTCTGTATTTCTTCTCTGTGGGACTTGGAGACAAGCTGTACACAGTAAAAAGCTGCCCAAGGCTAGAGAGGACTCTACAGAGTTGACTCACAGTGGGGCTCCACAATAAATCTAGCCTAGTGAATAAATTCCCATCTTTTTAAGTAACAGCACTTGCACAGTTATTTTGAAATGTTCAGCACCATTTACTCTTTTCCAATGCAAGGCTTCACGCAGAAGGAAGTTTTCAATGTGCAGAAGAAAAGTCTGTTTGTATGGTTAACATAATGTAAAGGCTGGGTCTGTCCTTGATTAGAAAAGAAAGCAATTGGTTTGGAGATGTCTCAAGTTTATTTTTTTCTTCGCTTTCTAGTTGGTTCTTATTATTCTTAAGTTACTTTGGCCTTTAAAATGGAAAAGAAAGTGTAAAATGATTTTGTTTGGCCATGCATTCTAGAAATTTAGAATTGTTTGGAAATTCAGATGAAAAGGTATGTGGGGTTGATTGAGCTCCCACTTGCTGTTGACCTCAGGAGATGCTGGCTTGACCGTCTAAGTTGATAAGAGCTAGCATTAGTAGGTCTACCATCATGCATGAAGAAGATGAAAACAGCAAAATTGTGATTTAGTATGTCACTGGGATTTACTAGCCAAGACTCAGTGCCTGTGCTGACCGTGCCCCAGAACGAAAATGAATGTCTCTGCAAGGTGCAGCGACCCTGCACTTAGGGCATGAACTCACCTGCTCAGAGCTGTGTTGGGGATTTCTAATGGGGCAGCTCTTGCCACTGCTGGCTGAGCTGCTTCTTTGCAGTTGCTTTGGCAACTCCCTGGCCTTTCTCTGGTAGAGATCAATCACAGCTTTTGCCATAAAGGTGGAATAAAAGACTGGGTGTTACTGACTTCTCAGAGTCTGGCCAGGGAGGAGATTTCTTCTTAAAGAACTGAAGTCTCTCTCATTCTTTTCCTGATTCTTTGGGAAGCTGTAAATTCTGGTAAGTCTAATATCAATTCTCCTCCAACATGCCAGCTCAGCAGCAATGCTCTGCATGTTGGCCGCAGATAATCTCTGTGCTACCTTTCCCCTGTGCATGTCTGCTGAGGATGTTGGTACAGGCTGTGATCTGGCACAGTATTTAATAGAGATCATTTTTACAGTCTAAGCCTGTTAAATTTAATTTAAAGAGTATTATAGCTGGAAGCACTGAAAAATTACAAATCGGAGCCTTAAGACCACAAGATTATTAATAAAAGCAATCATAATTTGAAGTTCTTTTTATTTGCAATCTGATTGCTGGGCTTTGGAGGTAGACTAGGATCACATTTAGGGGATAAGACTTGATTTATTTTTTAGTGAAAGTTGAAATTCTCTTATCATAGCATATTCTGGTGTAAGAAGCATGAAATCCAATTAAACTTGTAGCAAAATTGCAAGATACAAATATTTAAGTATGATAACGTTTCAGGAGAAATAATGACTCATCTCATGAGTGTCTTTTTACATTAATATAGATATTAACGTTTTAAACTCTTTTATGACACAGAGTCAGTGAAGCCAGTGATTTTAATAAAACATTTTTGATAGAATTCTTAATTGTCCCCAAAAGATGGACTCTTGTTTTTACCTTGTTGCTAAGGGAATGAGTAAGATATGGCCTTGTGTTCTCAGATCATTTGTAAAAAAGAAAACTAGAAACAGCCCATTGAAATTTAATTCTCTATGTGGTTTTTATTAGACATACAGTGTGCTTTGTAACAGTGTCATGTTCTCACTATCTAAGTTCATATTCAGTCCCAGTTCACGTTCACAGTGAGTATGAGGTATGTCTCTATTTTAACCATTTGTTTGAAAATTAAAGTTATGAAATGGTCTTTATACGTTGATATAACTTTTCTTTTCAAACCACAGAGTGACAGCTTTTCAGGGTAACATGTTTATTCTGCTCAATGACTTTGCAATTTTCAATACCAGGTATAATACCTCAAGCTCACCTTTTAAATTCCATACTCAACATTTAAGACCTCAAAACACATTGTTTTTTTAATTATCTTTATTCCCTACTAGTTATACACTTTTATTTTTCCAGCTAGAGTGTTCACTAAGAAGTAGGGTTAATGGGGGCATACACTACGGACAAAAGGAGAATGATGGATTTTTGAAAGCAAGTGAAAATGCCTAAAATACTTCTGCCCTTTTTTTGATTTCCTGGTCTCTTTAACCCTGAAAGAAAAGGAAAAGAGCAAAATTAAAACCAGCCTCACAAAGAGCTCTTACGCAGTGGTGATGAGGTTTGTGTTTTGTCTCTTTTCCACTGATAATAAGAAATGAATTCTAAGATACAGAAAGAATGAGATTAGCTTTTATTTCCCAAATAAAAGCGTTTATGAGCTGTAAGTAGACAATGGGGAGAAAAGCAATGAGCTAAAAATATTGGAAGCTTGTTGCATTGTTAGAAGAATCTGTTAAAATCTTCCTGCCCTCTGAAAGACGTAATAAGTAAGCACGTACTATATTGTATGCTTGGTTTCTTTTAAACATACAAGGACAACATGTTATTAACTCTATCTGTTGCAAAGGCCATGCTGTTAGTATGTTTATGTTTTCCTGCAGGATGCAAGGTCCGGGAAAGTATAGTCTTCCCTTTATACAGCATTGCACAGTTTGTTAATATGCGGTTCTTCCTCCAAAATTCCAGTTGACTTCAAGAAGCTTTGGCATGCAGCTCATGGCTGTATTGATATGCTGGATCTGCAGAAACAGATCTGATCTGACAGTCATCTGCCTGTTTTTAATTACAAATTTGTTTAAAATCTGACCTCTTGCTCCAATCTAACAAAAGCTACACTGATACAAACCAATTCAAACCTGACAGGAGGGTGACACAGAGAGATCTGTTGGTTTAACTAGCATGCTCTCTGATCGTAATGACTGTGAGGGGCGAAGCTTTCCTGTTATTTCCTCTTGCTTTGTCGTGTCAGCTGATTGCCGCCGATCCAGAGGCAAGTCTGGCAGAAGAGCGGGGCGTTTGCATAGGGTACGTGGGCTGGTCGGATTGCCCAGCTGCTGGGGCTGCACTGATGCATTAGGGTACACTGGCTGCTGGGGCTGCACTGGTCAGCTGGGATTTCCAGGACGCTGAAGCTGTGCCTTGTTGGTTATTTACCTGCTGGCGGTTGTGCAGGGTCTTGAGCTGGCATTTGCAGGTTTGGTTGGTGCTATGCTAACTGTAAAATTGGATACAGCATGGGAATTTGCATCGGCAGGTGCTGGGGTGATACAAAGGGTATCTGGTGGGGAGGTGGTAGGCTCTGGATTTGTGGCTGCTGCTGGGCTACTGCTAACATTGGTTGATGTTGTAGCCAGCCTCCCATTGAATCATAGCCACAGGACGGATAGTAAAGAGAAGGAGAAAGACAGTCCATTTTGTTATGTTCTCACCTTTATTTAGCACATATATTGTCATGGCATCTAGAGGCTCTGAAGAATGGCCTCTGTTATGCTATCCAGATGATATAATAAAAATGCTTGGACCAGAGTTTGTCCTTCCTGTGATTGGATTGTCTGCATGTTCTCAAACCATGTAAGAGCAACGCGGTTTTAAAAGTCTGAAATAAAGCCTGCTATTCCTTTCTTTATTTGGCTGGGATGAAAAAGTGGAGAGTTAGCTCCAATCTGCACCAGCCCAGAAGTGGTCTGCTCTTCCACTCCCTAGCCCTATCCTTCCCTCACATGGTACAGTTAGCATTTACAGCAGTGCTAAGCTATTATATCTCCCCAAATGGGGAGTATATTCTTCTGTTTCCCCGATTATAATCCCATGGATTATAATAGAAGCATAAGGGAGGAAATATGCAACCTACTTATTCATGTGGGATATTTACAGAAAAACTATCTGTACGCCAAAGTACAGTGCCATATCTGCCTGTGCAGAGTATTGTCCCATGTATTGTTTTTCTTTGTGTTTGACTTCCATTTGTGGGGCAAACAAGGAAGAATATTTATTACCGTCTCCTAGCTTCTTTACCCACGAAGGCACTTGGATCATTCTGTTCTGAACGCCTTACGCAGCACTTGTAAATGCTTGGCATTTGGGTGTTCTTAAAACAAAAGTAATCTCTAGAGCATGAGTAATATGCCTCTATATACATAGTCATAGGCTGTCAATATCTGTGTCAGCCTGGCCGTGATGGGGGTTATGAAGATGATGAATGTGGGGAAAAACAGATGAAAATTGAAAGGTGGTATTGGGGTCTCATTAGACTCTGGTGCAATTTCAAAGGTCAGGTGTTAATACCTTCAAAAGAGAAGAAAACAAAGGGTAGATATGTCAGCATAGCCTATTTCCTTGTCTAATGAGAGGTGGCAAAGCCAAGCATTGTGTTGAGTCTACTGTTACATTATGGCTTAGTTCTAATACCTTTAGTGGCATCATTTTGTATGGGGTTTTCAGTAGCCTTTGCATCCTGAACACCAGTACAAGGAGATAGAACAATTTGGGTAAAATGATTTCATAAAAAAATGACACACACAGTTTGATGAATTTATAGCAAATCAAAGGCAAGGATCATAAAACCACAGGGTCTTCTAGGATGTCTTTCAGGTAAGCCGTGAGTCTGAAAGCCCTAGAGGATCCCTTGCTTACATGGAGGTGCTGGCCCAAAGTTGCAAATTTTGAGAAGTCATGAATTTGCCAAGTGAAATTAAAGTTCTTGTTGGACTGAGGCATTCTGGTGAACATCTTTTTACTCTCTTCTTCCCCAGCCCAGAATTGCCTGTTTTAACACATTTTGAAAATTTTGGTGTGGGCCTGATATGGGCTGAAACTAAATTTTAAAACCATTACAATTTCTTGAGAATCAAAAATGTTTCCTGTTCTATATGTGTATATACTTCCAATTATGTAAGTCAGCATCCTCAGCTTTCCTATTTTTATGCTGCAGTCCGCAAGGTTAAAACTTAAAGCCTTAAGCCATCTGGTTTTAGAAGAATAGGGAAATATTTTTGCGCTAGTTGAAAAAGGAAGAAAAAAGTAGATATCATAGTTTCCAAAATCTGTGATTCTCTTTTCCTAATGTGTTCACCAAATTTTCTTTTTCGTAGATGTCCTTTTCTAAGTATTCAAACACGCTTTTGAACTTTATGATTAGGCACAGGCAAAAAATACTCCCTAAAATTGGACCAGACTTTTGTTTTCTGCTTTTTCCTTCATTTAAAGAGCATCAAGGGCTTTTATGACTGTGGAGCTGCCAGAATGAAAATGCATGAATGTCTCCCATTTTTAGGAAAATTCCTCTGCCATACAATATAGCAAAACCAGAATTTAATTTACTGCATGAACTTTCGTGATCTAAACAGTTCTAGACTGATAAAACAGTGCTGACACTTGAAGTATTCTTTATAGTTGACCCAGTTTTGTCTACTGAATTAACTTGGTAATGAATACTCTATCTGAAGGTCCAGGTGGCCATATTCATTTTGTAGTGCTCTGGTTTTACATCACTGAAGGCTGGTTGAAACTGATGTAACTCAATAATGAATCAGTCTCTACTTAGAACTAGGCACGTTAAAGTATGTTGAAAAGATGAAAATATTCTGCCTCGTGGCTGAAGTTGATAAAAGCAGGATGTGTTGGATGGGGGACAGCTGTAACAGAACATTTCAAGATATACACCTTGGTATTATAGAAATAAAATTACCCTGAACTATTATAGCACTTGGTCTGGGTGTTGCAGAGAATCTGTGAGTTTATGTAATGAATATTGCAGTGACAGATTTGTCTTGCTGGGTTACTAGTAAGCCATTATGGGTAGGATTTTTCAAGCATGAGCTTTCTCATCTGCAAGTTAAACATATAAGGCAATTGTCTCGTACCTCACTATAGTAGAAAGAGATAGCACCTCTTTAGGTCAAAGCATTCCCTCCTAGGATGGGTGGAATGAGTTGCTAAATAGCTAAAGTTAGGCCATACAAAGCCCAGTCTACATCTACAGTTCAGCAAAATACTTGCACACAATTAATAGTAAAACTTCTTAAATTAAGCATGTACTTAAATGTTTTGCTGAGTGGTTGATTTGCCTTCTGCCTAAAATCATTTTGAGCTTATTTTTACATGAAGCATTAACAGTCAAAATAGTGTTGCTATCTCTACTTCATTCCTATGTACAGATTAAATAAAGAAATTGAAGGAGTTTGGAAAAGAAATCCAGCTCTTTGGCCTGGAGTGGCTGCCAACTCCAGCACATCACTCCAGGGCACACCAAAGAGTATTTCAGGTCTCTTGAGGGTGGATTTTCATGTAGAATACTAATTTTTTTCTTTACTGTTCCTGAAAGCAGGATAAACTTTGGAAAGTAGTAATTGCACAGAGCTGTCAAATCTCAAGATGAGCGATTCTTTCTGAACACTCTTCTACTCACACCTTATGTATTTATGCAGCACAGCAGTGTGGCTTTTCTCCCACTCCCTGGCCTCAGGATCTGCTGACCTTGTGCACTTGAAGCAGTCACTCCCAGAGTGGGAGCAGGCTCTCATGGTGAGGGAGATGGGTGGTTTCGGTGGGTCCTTGTGCTGAAGGCATCCCTGTTGGAAGACAGCTGTCAGCGCCAAGGCTCCTGCCCCAGCTCCCTGGCCCTGCCTCGTAGGTCAGAGAAGGAATTCTTCAACGGTCTGGTAAAATTAACGCTTATCAGACTGTTTAGTATGCAAACCAACTAAATCTCCCTTCTCTCCTTTATAATTGTCACTTTATAAATCCTGTTTGCATACGGTTGTGTTGACGTTCCATTCATTGTTTGCAAAGGAAAAAGAGACCGTCAAGCGTAGCACAATTGCACACTGAATTGCAGCATGACTATAGTAGTCGCTGGCATAGCAAATGTTGTACCCAGAAGGCAAGTGACTGAGATCCAGCCATCCACCTTTGCCAAAGTATAGTACCTGAAATAAAAGGAGAAAGTACTGCCTTGGTTAGCGATAAATCATCAAAGAACAATGCTCATATGTTAGCATGTGCGGTTGGACCAGATGATCTCTAGAGGTCCCTTCCAGCCCCAACTCTTCTGTGATTTTTTGTGATCTGGAGCTACATTAAATCAAACAACCTGTAGATAACAAGGACAAGTCTCCTGCAGTCTACCTGGAAGGTTAGATATCTTTCCTTATTGAATATTTGGTGGAAACAGCAAATCAGTGATAAAATTCCGTTGGATTTTGGAATTCATTTTGAGACAGAAGGCAGATCTTTGACCGTTTTTTTTTCTTCAGCGTTTCTGCGGTCTCTGAAGGTGGTTCCCTTTAACTCTGAAGCCCTGCTCATGACTATGAAGAGCAAAAGGACTAAATGTCATTTAAAAGTAATGTAGCAAGACTTGCCAACAACACAGCTTTAATAGATTCTGAGAGGAATGTGGGAGCAGTCATAGCCTTAAAAAAACAACAATAGGTTTTAGCAACCGGAGAATCTGCAAAAACATTTGAGAGCTGTGCACGCTCCCTCCTCCTTGCTGTGCTGAATTTTTGCTCCCATGGTTTTTTTGAGAATCCTCACAGGAGATTTTCAAGAAAAAATTGATAAAAATATTTACTTAAGAGCTGTCTTGAAGACCACTCCCTCACTAGAATATAATCCTCCTTTTCTGCTTCTGCTGGCTGTTTCATCTATTTTAATGTAATTTTGTTCACACAGTACAGAACCTCTAGCCAAATACAGAATTTACATATTATTTATGATGATAATATTGTGGTACGTTTGTCTTGCTAAAAGTGTTTTCTAAGGTGACATCTCTGCAGAAGTGCCATCTGACTAAAGAAGGTCTTGCTTTCAAAAAGTATTGCTGTGAACAGCGTTAAGAAACTGGGAAGGGTTGGTATTTCCACTGCAAAGACCTGTCCTGTTCACATTATATTAAGAAATAATTGGTTTTCAGTAAAAGATTTCTCAGCTTCAGAATTCCATATTAGAGGAGACTCATTAACATATGTCTGCACGCAGTTCTAAGCAATCACAGAGCTGTCACCCATGTCTTACCCGGAGACCCAGTGTTCAGCTATCTGTACGGAGAGTCTCCTAGCTCACCTCAGTAAAAGCCAAAATGCTGGAGGGATGAATTCCTACATTTAGGCCACATTTTGAAACTTTTAGATTCCCAGCACTTAATGATTTAATGCCTTTTAAAATATGGCTCAGAGGTCTTTCATCATTCTTGTCATTACAGCTGTGATTTGAAGAAGAGTGTAGTATTTTGCCTTTCTTAAAATACGCCTATGCTAATAGTACACCGTCAGGTCATAAAAATGCTTAGGATAACTGTGAGAATTGACAATACTCAGAAATAATTTCAGAACACTACATTGTATATATGAGCTAAAATTTAAGTATTTAGGTATGTATTTTATCAATATCAGATGTATTTTTTCTGCTGTC